GTCCGGAAGATATACAAGAATTATAAATAGTCAGAAAACAAAAAGACAAACTCAAGTTGATAGAAAACAACAAGTTTGTTGTCACAATAGTAGAAGTGGGTGATTAATTTTCTTTTGTTCACAGAGCTCCTGCTTCCTTGAGTAGTGAGAGCTTCAGCAACTCAGAGGAAACGAAGGCGTATAGTCTTTGTCAGGTTCTTTTTCACTTTGTAGATTACTTTGAAGAAGGAATGTGTTGAGATGAAATGACCAGTATTAACAAAGTGTTCAATTACCTCATTCTTTATTGAGCCACCGCTGCCTGTCTGAAGAACACTGTCTTCCATGATTGCACTCTGACTACAACTCTCATTAAATTATTTCTCTTATTACGTAACTCTAACCCTTACTCAACTGTCCGTATGTATTGATTAGTTTTAACAGCCGTGATTACTACAACTCAACACTTTTGTTACTATTCTTTTTCGTGGAAAAATTGTATACACATGAGATTGTACAGCTAGAGAAAATGAATTCGCCAAAAATAACCTGTCTTCTGAACTACTTGTTTTTTTCCATTAATTTAAAAATCCCTACTTGCACATTTAGTAAAAAACAAATTTAGCGAAAAAATGCTTTACTTTTTAATTAGTTCCTCATCGACAGCACTACATTAATATATATATATATATATATATATATATATGTTTTACCAATCATGTGGTATTACTCAGTATGAATTAGCACTTTTTCAGTATGAGAGGTGAAAATAATTGATTGCAGATATCAAGACAGTCAGACTGCAGAAGTTAGCAAAAATATAAATAATGAGGTATGTGAGATCCATTCATTTGTAGGTGTTAGCAACTAGTTGTTTCATAATCAGTAATTTGTAAAGTAATGGTGACTAAGGAGATTACATTAATAGATTACGCAGAAAAACTAAAATATAAATGGGTTAATTGAATTAGCGAAAATAGTAATTATAAGAAAAGAAAGTAACACTCAACTGCTGGTTACAGGGATAATGGGAAAGACTGTAAACATTATGTGGATGACCACTGCAAAGCGAAGGACTGCACGAATTTCTTTTAAGCACACAGGCTCAACTTATTCAGGTGAATTGTAATTGCTTCCGATTTATGTTAATATCGGCCTGGTGAAGCTTGTGAAAGGCAGAATGAAATACTAAAAATAACTTTAGAATCTGTGTTAGTGTGGGCTTGAAGTTCTGTATCGTGAGATGAGATAGTATTGAGCTACGTATGACTTTGCTGTATCTTCTGCCTAACTAAAATGAGTGTTGTGTAGAAATTGGACGATGAATTTGTCCTAATCGAACGCCCAATGTAACTAGCTCTTCAGGGAGATGCAGACTTCCGGGTTGGGGCCCTCGGGACTCTAAGAATCAATGGCTGGAGACAATAGGTGACATGGCTCAAAATCGTTGTCAATGGCGCAGATGTATTCAGTCTTATTGATATAAGTATAAAACTTGGGCACTGTGGTAGAGTATAACTCCATAATGGTTAAGATTTTATTTTGATAAATCACACAGTGTTGTACAGTTATATTAACTGATGACGTTTCGAGCACAAACTATTGCTCATAATCATATCAACTTGATATGATTATGAGCAATAGTTTGTGCTCGAAACGTCATCAGTTAATATAACTGTACAACACTGTGTGATTTATCAAAATAAAATCTTAACCATTATGGATGTATTCAGTCTCTTTAACCTTTCATATTCCTTTCTACCATTACTCATTCTGTTTCACTCTTATACTTATCTAAATTCTATTGATTCTCTTCTCTCATTTTCCTGTCTACCTTTGTGTGCTATTTGGAACGTGGCAACTCGAACTGTTGCACTTCGGTGCCAAGTTCTATGTTGAATCCAGCAGCAGCAGCTCTTCAGGAACATTTAAACTACTAAATACACATGAAAGAGGTGAAATTAAGCAGTTTGTTTTTATTTTACAAACTATGTACTGCGTGACCGGCTAACAGATAGCATAACCTAGCTGTGTTAAAAGTCCTTTTGAAGGCTTTTCTCAGATGTGGTACATTTTCATCAATTAAAATCTTCCGTAAACTTCTGTCTTAGAAACTTGAATTTTCTCGGATTTGTAGGTACTATGAATTCGGTGCTTGCTAAATCCATGTATTTATTGGAAAGTTTCATCAAATATTCGTTTGCACCTGGTAGATCGCGAATCCTACCAAGTTCCTCGTTTAGTCCTTCATCCAGATAAATACTTCTTGTAAACTGAACTAAACATTTAACTACATTACGTTTGTGCTGTAGGAAGATGGGACTTAGGAAGTGAATATATTGTCCAGTTGATGTTGGTCTGTAACGGTAAAAGACAAGAGACTTGGTAACTAAACGTCTATTTGGAATTTGATACCTCTGTATACGGAAATTATGTACACTTTATATGGAAATCGTCATTTGCACATGTCTTCCGTGTTGTGCTACTTCTGCCCTTCTTATCGTGTTTCTTTGTCTTCTTTTCGTGTCTCCCATGTTTTGCCTCAACGCTGGTTCATTTACTCTCTTTGACTTCAAATCTATCTCCGCTATTTTATATTTTTATGCCGATTAGCGTGTTTTTATATACTACTGGTAAATCTTATCAGTAGCATACGCCACAGGTTTTCGGTGTATGCTTCTTCTTGATATTGCTCCATCTACTTTTTTTTGCTATTATAGCATTCAAATGGTATTCATTTCCTCATGTGCAACTAAACTCATTTAAAACAACTGCATCACGTACTATAAGATAGAAGTTGAAACCATAGTTGGTCATTGCGTGTTTAGGCTTGAGTAAACATAAACCAGATGCACACCATAGATTCAACTGGTAATCTATTGTTTCTCAACACGCTGTATGCCATTAGATGCAAGGTAAACTACTCAGGACATATGTTTTTCTCATTTAATAGCTATTCTTACTTCATGGTAGGATAAATTTTAGCCACCAAACTCAACTATGATTTAATTTCAAAATCAAAATATTCATAGTAGAGTGTTGCTAGTTCCACTTGTGAACTAACCTACTTTAAACTTATTTTATTTAAGGTGAAAACTTTCAGTTTTTCTTTGTCTGACACGTCACAAAATTTTAATTTCGCACCACTTACACAAAATAAGCTTGAAAGAGTAGTAAGTAGTTGAACAGTGTGATTTTTGTATACACAGTTTTTTCTCTTGGCAACTTTTGTTTTTCTATAGATTTTAAATACTAAGGACAGTTTAAATACAATTTGTTTATTTAATTTTCCTTTGACTTAATTTTGATTTATTCAACACTGAATAAATTTAATTTCAAGAGGATTTTTTTCTTCTCGATTGTCAATATTTTCCAGTTATTACATATACTTACGTTTTCCTTTTCTAATTTAGTTGTATTTAAAGTATTGTTACTTATGTGTTTCTTTTATGAAGACTGTGACAATGCAAAGTTAAAGTCAGTGAATTAGTTCTCTTTTAGTCTATTTAGATTTTTATAAAGAAAACAATAGATTCAGTCGGTGAATGGTGGATGGTGACTAGTAGTGGAATGGAATCCACGATGTGCATCTCTTCCTATTTGTGGGACTCGTCAACGAGATTCACCTTCAGTCCCCAGTGAGAGGTAGTGTTCCCACTGATACTTGAACATAGTACCCTTCGTTTCAAACATCAAAGCTTTATTCATTAAACCACAACGGTTATCAGTTAATTATCTGTTTTGGTTTTCCCGTTGACTTGAGACAATAGACTGTATGCATTAATAATAATAGTAAAGGTTATGATTGGAAACAAGAATAGAAATTAAAATACTGCTTTTTCATTTCTGTGCATACAACTCGATATGCAATTCACATAGAATATAGTTTAATAAAGAAATCGTAAACGTTTGATTCTAGCAATGTATTGGAACAATTAATAATCATCATATTAAAAATATTGTATAGCATAATTATTGATAAGTGGCGGTGGAAACTTCTATTGAGTCAGGATTGTAGCCTTTGAATTATCATCCTACCACTCCTCTGACTGCTATGAGATGTAACTATCAAGTAGATTTTATTTTCATTTCAATCGCTAAGGATTTCCTTTCATTTCTAATCTTAGCTAATTACATAAGTATAATTTTGTCAACTCCATTACAATCTCAAATATTCTCGTTAAAGACATTCATATTTTTTGACGCTTCTGAAAGTATGTTTCACGTTAAATAAGTTTTTGATAGTTATCCAAATAAAGATAGAAGTCTTAATTCCGGGGTGATAACGAATTAGTTTGGGTGTCTTGCTTTTTATGCTATTTATTTCACTTGAATGGCTGATCATCCGACAGCTGATTTTAATTAGATGTCCCTTGGTGGAATCAGTTATTATCTCAGAAAACATTTGGCATACATTATACAATTTGTTAATTATAATTTATTTCACTGTATTATATACACCAATGAAGGGTGCTATTGAATAGCAATTACAGTCTTATACAGTGAGTGTGAAATTAAATTTTTTGATTGTGTTGCCTATTGAGGCGTTGGGTACTGAATTTACTTTTCCTGAACACCTCTCCATGAGATTATTAATGCTAAGCTGGACGTATTTCACATCCCTTCAATCTAAGAGTTAGCACGAAACAAACACCGATTAAATTACTTTATTTTATTGTTACCTTCTAGCATTATTCCCACCTAGGGAACGCAAAAATAAACTTTCACTTCATTTACTTTTGGAAAATATTTGAATCGTTTTACCGAATTTTCGTTATAGATGGTTGTTGTAAAACTATTACAATTTAGTTCTTACTCTGTTTATTTTGTTCTTTGAAGCATTTGTCACAGATAACTTCAAGTACATTTCTTATAACCGAATAACCACACTTTTATCAACTTGATAGTTCTAATTATACTTCCAATCATAGAAATAGTCAAGAACCTTTTAAATTGCCACGTGACCTGTACTTCTTCCCCCCCCCCCTCCCTATTGACCGTAAAATTATTTCTTTTCACAGGATCTGACTTAATTGGTGGCTCTATAAACCTAGCCAGCATTGTATGGGCAAAGGTAACTCATGTTGGCGAAGATTCTGCCTTAGCCCAAATCGTCCGGCTTGTTGAAGAGGCACAGACATCAAAAGTAAGCTCAAATTTTCTTTTACTAAGGGGTGATTTGTACGCATCCACAACCACTTGTAAATTGGTAACTTTAAACCTTCGATATAGTGTATATGCCGAATTCCTTTACAACTGAAATATTTTACACCGGAATTGGAAAACTTTTATTGTCCTTATCTGTTATGATATTGACAACCTTCCTCAGAGGAGTATGGTATCAGGATACAGTGGTAAATACTTTAGAAACATACAGTTTCATTCTGAATCCTTGAAGTCAAGTATTTAATGTCTTTTCCAGTGAACATCACTTTGAAACATATATTAGTGCTCTATATATTTTCAGTTGATGAAGGGAATTATTCTGAAAGCGTTTTAGTAACCTAGAAATACGATTATATTTTATTGTTTTCCTTCGGGTTTATTTTCTAATCTTGATAATATGATATATATATATATATGTATATATGGGTTAGTAATAACGAATTCGTAGATGACACTCTGGCCTTAGGAACTATTGATATCGACTCCCTATTTGAAAAGAAATACATTGTGGTAGATTTTGTTAGCGTTGAGAATTGTAGGCAAAACTATTACAAACTGATACTGTCAAGTAACTTAACCCTAAGTTCCTATTATTTGCGAAGACGCTCCGAATCGATAATTACTATGAACGATTATCGACCTTAACTCCAAAACACAAGGACTTGTAATAAGTTGTATTGTTCGATATTGGTACAAAGTCTGTAAACAAATGTTTTACAAGGAATGTATTGTACTTTTATTCGTATTCTTTCGTCTTCTTCCAAATTGTACACGATTGAATCATTCGCGCCTTCGAGTTGCCCGCCAATGGCGATCAAGGTCAATGAACCAACGTTCAATGTTCACATTCATTTACAGATACTATTACATGTAATCTGCTTTTGCTTCATTGGTGATTAGCTGAAAGTTTTTAGTGATGATTACATACATTACATCATTATGCTCTCTTCATAAATGGATCACCATTTAGCAAGTAACCACTATTGTTTACAAGTCTTAAGGATCTCCTTGCTGAGATGATAGAGTGCACGGCAAAGACTTAGTTCAAATCTTGTTGTGAGGATGAAGCTGACTGTCCTTAACACTTGACTTCCAGCCAGTGTGTCTCGTATTTGAATTTCACCTTCACTTTATTTCGCATGAACAGCTGTATTATGCTATAGACCTTTACACTAGATTTATATATGACACATATCCTGATACAAGAAAGGTATACTTGGGTACGTTGTTTCTATCAATAGGAAATATTATAATTTCACCCATCATTTTTGCAATGTGAATTAATAGACTATGTGAGATCTCAATATTGTGATGCTTTACGTTTAACGGAATTATAGGTGGAAAGTGAAACGCGATATGCACTTTTTTGTTCTTTTTAGTCTGATGACACAATTTATTAAAAAGCAGTAGTACATTTCAAATGATAATCTCTGGTTTATGCTTGCTAAATAGCTTTGGTAAACATTTAATTATAGTTGTGTTTTGTGTGTGTTTATTTTATATCTTCAGGCTCCAGTACAACAACTTGCTGATCGCATTGCTGGCTATTTTGTTCCATTTGTATGCATTGTATCTTTGACAGTTTTCATTTTATGGATTTTGCTAGGCTTTCTATTTCCAACAAGTATAAAAGGTTATGAGGTATGTTGTTTCTTTCTACTGGCGACTTACGTGATACATACATTTTGATTTGATTCTGTATTTTTATGATAATGGATTTCATGTAGACGATTACATCTTTCAATTAACCTTGTTGAAATGAATCCTCATTCATTTATTTACTTAAAGTTTAGTTTTCATCACCAGAATGAGCATTTCAACACTACTAAACTTATCAAAACCGTTCAATAGATGTAGATGAGAATTTATCGGGAGTGCAATCACACTAAAGTATATGGCTGACCCAGGTATTCTATATCTACTAATCTAAAGCATGCAAGCAAATGTGAATTGTTCAACAATTTTTGAAGTATTGGTTTTGTAGGGATTTTGTTTGATTGGATGGAGGATTTCATCCTGAGCTGACATCAGTTAGGGAAACACTGGAAAACCTGAGAGTACTGGGCAGGTGTTTGAAACTTTTAATGACATGTCAAAAAACTCAATCACAGTGATTACAGATATGTTCATCTTTTTATGACCATTGCAATACTGAACACTTTTACTAACTTGTATGTAAATCTGTATGTTTACTCCCAACCGATCCTTGTTTGATTGACCCTGACACCGAACCTTATATGGCGGAGTCAGAAATGCTTTTTATGTTTACATTTTGTTCTGAAAACAAATATAAGTATGCTACATGAACTTCCAAATTGTTACTGTTCAGTAGTTTTTAAAAATTTGTATTCATTGTTCATCTGAAACTTGTATCCATGTTCACCTTATCACTATTCGATACATTCTAAGAAAAATGAGTATACCTAAAAGTGGATTCTTGCTATCTGGTTCACAGTAAATTCATCAGTATTTTGACTGTTAATGCTATTTAGTAGAATTCCATTTAATTTCACTTTCGTATTTATTCAACCTATTGCTCATTTTATGTTGTAAAATTCCTTAGCATGGTTGCTCCATTGCTTTGCTGGCTGTTGATCACGCTTTTCGAATGGCTATCACTGTGCTGACCATTGCTTGTCCATGTGCTTTAGGCTTAGCAACTCCAACAGCTGTTATGGTAGCGACAGGAACAGGTGCATTGGCTGGTATATTAATCAAAGGTGGTCAACCACTGGAAAATATGCGTAAAGTAAGTTTGTTCGTTCAGTTCACAAGTTCACCTTTTGCATATATTTAGTTTAAACGTATTTGTAATCGATTAAAGATGCCCATTCGAAATTTCAAAAGATTTATTATTGAAGAAAGAATATTCTTTTCGAAAGCTTCATCATCAGGTTTTACAGTTATATATCCATAATAATAAAAGCATTATTGCTATTGACTACATTAGTGGTTTTTAAAAGAGTAACATTGAATCAACGTTATTTGTAAGTAGACTGTTAATAGATTACAGTCCACAATATATGTGGTAATAAGATTGTAATACTGAATTAAACACAAATATTACAAAGTAAATGTTTATGAATGACAACGAATGTATGGTAATAAATTCTCATGAGTCATGTTCACATTAAGTTTTATATTGAATCCAAACTTCAGATGAATGAATGATCATGTCCAGGCCCGGGGTGGGGAAAAAAGATTTTTGGAGTTGAATTTTATTCGCGTTATGTGTGTGTCAGTGCGTAAGTTAACTACTACGCTTAAATAAGAAAACAAAAGGTTAGTTATAATACAAGTGTAATGACAAGGGGTAGGGGAATTTATATGTACAGGATAAAAATCCATATCAAAAAGGGCCGATGTAATAAGGTATTTATTATTTGGCAAAAGTTACATTTAGTACATTTTACATTCTATAAGATTAATTTCCTCACAAATAGTCATCATTTAGATGAAAGACTGTGGATTGAAAAGCACCGAACAACTGTTTCCTATTGGTTCAGTAATCCTTAGTGGTGTTTATATTAATTAATTAAGTAACCTGACATTTATGCTTATTTTAAATATTGCTAACTCTAAAGAGTGTACCTCAAATTAACTATGAAATGTTGAAGATTTGCCCCAGTATTGTCAATAGATTACTTAATGTGTACACATAAACCATCTTGGATCATTTACTAGTTTTCTCAGCACTAAATCAGCAAATGTTTCAGTCAGCATCTAGTATATTGGGACTAACTATATTGGCACTAACATCACAGGGAGCGAAATACGAGCTAAACTATTTCAAGGGAGACCTTATGATATCATCTATTAATCCTAAACAAAACATAATAACTATTATTATATTATTATTGTTCCCTTGGGTTCCGAGTGGAACATAGGACTTCGACAATACATCTCCGCTTTTAAAGTAATGGTTTCGTAGGAAATTTTGTTTGATAAGTTGGAGGATTTCATCATGGGCTGACATCATTTAGAGAACCATTGGAAAACCTGGGTGTACTGCACAGCTGTTTCGACCTGGTTTGGGACTCTTCATCAGTACGCAACCACCTGGGTTCGAGCCCAGGGCCTTCTGGCTACAAGGTGAGCTCGTCAACCATTAAGCCACTGGGTCGCATCCAATGAATTCTAACTTCTGCCAATTCATGACATAACGCGACCTTTTTGCAGTGTCTTCTTCGATGAGTTACTGCCTCACCTTCAACCTGCTTCACCCTACTGACCACGGCTTCCAACTAGAACCTTAGCTTAAATACCTGAATAGAGCCAGTCGCTAGTGAGAGAGTACTGATGAGGAGCCCCAAACTAAGACGAAACAACCGTTTAATACTCCCAGGTTTTCCAATGGTTCTCTAAATGATGTCAGCCCATGATGAAATCCCCCAACTAATCAAACAGAGTTCCCTAAAAAACCAATACTCGAAAAAATACCTCATGCTCGCTAATGACTTGCCCTATTCAGGCAGTCACCTGAAGTTCTACTGGGAAGCCCTGTCCATGGGGCAGCAGCCGGATGAAGGTGAGGCGGTAACTCATCGAAGAAGACATCGTGAGGTAGTCGCACTATCTCATCAATTGGCAGAAGTTAGAATCCATGGGGCATTGGATCGGTTCCTCTTCAGCTGAGTCCACGACTGGCCATAATCTCTCATCTCCTCCTCCAACGATCTCCTCCATGTCACCCTCACATCGACGAGTCTCTCGTCGCTTCCCATTGATATTCCGCTCGAGCGATGGCCTGCATTGCGTGAGATGTCATTCGGCTGCCTCCCCAAATGTATGCCCGATCCATCTTCACTTTCTCCTACATATTTGTTGAGCGATTGGCTCTTGGTTGGTTATTTGTCAGAGTTTCTTGTTGCTAATTCTTTCCGGCTGGCCGGCTATTTGATGTTCAATATGGAGCGAGCGAACGCAGCTGTTGATAAAAGTCTAACTTGTTGGAAATGCTTCTCGTGACACGCAGTGCAAGTTTCTGACCGGTAAAGACGAACTGACTGACTTCACATTTGCGTTGAAGTTCCGAATCTTGTTGTTTGTGCTGGCTGAGTGCAGAGGATTTCCAAACTGGTTTCAGGCTGATGGAGGCGTATATTGCCTTTCCGATTCTAGCTGGTTGGCTTTGACATCTTCATCCGTTTCGACTGCCTGTGGTTGAAACCGTGCTTCCTGGCCAGACAAGTGAAGGGAGTGATCTCCATCAAATCTCTCCCTTTGATGGTAATCGGTGCTGGTTGCTGTTGGTTAGTTGGGTGGTTGGTTGGTTGGTTGGTTACCTTGATCACCTCCGTCTTATCCATGTCCACTTGGAGTTCTGTCTTCGCTTCCTTCTTCTTCTGTCAGTTTGTTGGTTTGCGCCTGCAAGTTTTCAAGTTTGTGTGACAGACATAAATCATCTGAGAAATCTAGATCTTCTTTGGCTGTGTCTCTTCGCCTCTCTGATTCCAACGAAGAATATATCTATTTTATATATTTTTTATTTTTAATATATTCCTTGTGTGTTGAAGTTTCTGTAGCAGTTTGATTGGTTTTGTGGTGTAGGGTTGCTAGCCCCACTCCCAGCCCTCCCTCTTTACTCGGTCTTGGGACCGGCTAGAAACCAGCAAGCTTGTTTACTAGGCGAACACTGATCGGTCATACAAGAGTATTCCAGTAAATGCTTTTGACTTTTACTGATGCTGGGTGTTTTCATTGTCTTGTTCATACTTGCGTGGTGACCTATTTTTAACAGATACTAAAGGATGTCACCCAGAAAACTGACTATCATTATTTATAGTTTACTTCGTAACCTAGGATTTTTCACAACTGCACTGTTGCTTCATTAAACTAACTCGTGATTTACAACCCTCCGATCTTTGTTCAGCTACTGTTCCACCACCGTGTTAACATTTCTTCATTATGTTCGTCTAGATAGTTCCTTACATTATTAATTGATGTTAATTAAGCTAATAGGTAATCCATAAAGATATTGAAGTTTGTAATATTCGAAGCCACTACCATAAGTGCCTGTAAGTATGTAAATGCATTTCGTTTAGTGATTACATAGTAGTTGTGGCTGTATGCTAATACATCTTCATCTTAAAGAAAATCTATTTTTGTTGTTACACTAGTCTTAGTGTTGATCGTCTAACAGGCCGTCTTCCCTTAAATGCAAGATGAGAACAAGCCGTTTTTACAACACTTTGAGATTTTAATCTTTTCGATTTCTTTCTTCAAATATGACACTATGTGATCAATGAACCATCGTTACTCAAGTTAAATATGTATCCCGCTAATGTTAGTTTTACTTTTTTCCATAATCTCCTCTTTCTTTGCAAAGTGATTTTTTCTGTTTCAGTTAACCACTATAGTGTTTGACAAGACAGGAACTATCACTCAAGGACGACCAGAAGTTGTGAGAATTGTCATGTTTGTACCGCCTGGTGAACTGCTAAAACGAAAAGAATTAGTAAGTATATTTTTACTTTTCCTGAAGTTACTTCTTATTTTAAGCAGTAGTTGAACTAAATATTTAGAGCGAACAATTGTTTTCAATAAATTCTTCTTCAGGCTCTACAATTATAAATCCATTAATTTAAGCATACAATAGCCAGTAAAGGCAAATTAGAATCATATCAGAAATGTATTGTGGAACAAGTATAAGATGGGATGGAACAATAGTCAGTTAGTTTCTTAATATGAATGGTCAATGAGAACATGGGACAAAATGAGATGAAATAAATTAATCAGTGATGTATATATATATATATATATATATATATATATATATATATATATATAGTCAACAGAAAATACAGGTTTCGAAAGTGAGTGTGATCAGGGTGTGTGAGACCATATGAAAATAAACCAACGAATGGGGCGGACTAGACATAAGTTCAAGGTTGAAAATAACGACAATAAGAATGATTGTAAAATAATAACGATGATATGGTGTAAAATTACAAGCACTATTGGTGAATGATTGTTGAATAATAATAATAATAATAATAATAATAATAATAATAATAATAATAATAATGAATATAATGAAGTGGAATGAACAGGATTTCGTAAATACGATAGCAAGTTAGAAAAGCACTACTTAAACCTAAGGTTATAAAATCATAAGAAAGGTCATAATAATAATAATAATAGCTTTATTCCAGAAACAGTACTAGTGGTACAGTGTGGAATTTTCAGCACATCTACAATATTACATCTAATTTTATCAAACATTTAAAAGGAGTAATAATAAATATAATAAATAAATATAAAAACAACAAAAACACAAAAATAAAAAGAAATGCGAAAAATACCAAGAAGTAGGAAGGAAAATAAACAACATTATAAATAATATCTCAGTATTGGGTAGAGGAAGCTATGATATGTTCATGCGTGGTGACAGTAAAGCTATAATCACACAAGAAGTTATGAAATGATATTTAAGAATGTTTATCACCAAGACTGATTGAACAGCATTAAACAATCATAAAGTAACATTTCAGGGTTTTTGTTGTCAGCTCTAATGCGGTGTTTGTAGTGGTAGTGTGAGTACTCCTGCATAAGATGGTGATTATGGCGTTCACACTCTAGCTTGTCAGTTAATATTGCCGAACAAAAAACAATCACAAAACTAATATTACATGATGGTTAATGAAGGACAATTTTGTATTACTCATAGTGCTAATATATTCAGAACCAGTAGATACACAAAAGAAGGAATAGAATTAAGTACAAAAAAAGTCATGAAATCATAAAAGTCGAAAACGAACGTTTGTCAATGAGACATAGGAACAGAAGAACAAGAAGAAAAGAAAATTGTGATAGGAATATATTGTGCTAATGTTTATGGAGGATTTGTTGGCTTTATCGTAGGCCAAGGTAAACATAGAGGTTGAACATACTTCTTCTGTATACAAAGAGTTGGTCTTGTGGTATTTATTGCAACCACTTCAGCTACTGATAGAAGACGTAGACGAGCTCCTCTAGATAGATTACTAGGAACGCGGTAGATAACTGAGAACGCCTGGTCAAGTTTTATCAGGTGTCCAGTATCTACCAAGTGGGCTAAGACTGCACTATTTACGCATTTGGTTACCCCTTTACTCAACCATACAGGTACATGTTCACGTGCACGCATGGATAAAGCCCTCTGAGTACGGCCTATGTAACTAGCTCCACATGAGCAGTTGAATTCATAGACACACACCGATGAGGCCATCTTTGGTAATTTATCCTTGACTTGCTATGTGAGTACTGGTTTAGTTGAGAAGTTGATTACCAGTTTAACTACAGGAAATTTTCTCTCTACTCCTCTATTAAGTCGACATTTTAGAATGTCACCTGCAATTTCCCCTTTGTAACTTAACTTAAAATACAAAGGTTTCTTGTCTACAGTATCCTTCTTTATCCTGTCTCTAGATATTGACACATACATTTTTAGGAAATTCTCTGGATATCCACTTTCTTGCAGTGTAAGTTTCAGTTTATACATTTCTTTCTTAATGCATTCCTCTGAGCATACGCGTTTTATTCTATACCTAAGACACTTAACTAAGTTTCTTTTTATATTAAATCGGTGTGAAGCTATGAAAATGGATGTACTGACCCGTCCAAGTTTTCTTTCTAAATAATTTTCTTTGTAGATATCCGTCTGTCTTCATGGTAAGGAGGACGTCTAGGAAAGGTATACTGTTATTGTCTTCTTCCTCCCATGTAAACTGAATAGCTGGGTGAACACTATTAACAGCATTCAGAGGCTCTTGTTTATTAAGATTTCTATCACAAACGATAAAGCTATCATCTACGTACTGACAATAATAGTCAAGTCCTTTGATCGTGTCTCTGAGTGGACCATTTTCAAGCTTTGCCAGGAAAATATCCGCTAGCATAGGGCCCAGAGGTGATCCCATTGCAACACCATCAACTCGTCTATAAAAACCATTGTTGAACATAAACTGAACATTCATAGTGCATTTCAATAATAATTCCTTGACTGTTACCGATGGGATTCCTACATCTATCTTTCATTCTATCAGTTGGTCACATATATAGTTGACTGTTTCGATCAATGTGACGGTGAATAATGATGCTACATTCAGTGACAACATTTTTTCCCCTTTACATTCGGGCTTTTGATAGTTTCTACAAAGCTAAATACGTCTTTTACACTGAATTTCACTAATTCACGATGTAGTGGTTCTGATACCTTTACCAACCACTTTACTGTAGAATGATAAGGAGATTGACACATATCTAAGATAGGACGTAGTGGTACTCCGGGCTTGTGGACTTTTGGTAAACCATAAAGTATTAGTGTGTGCGCACCCGAGGGTTTCAATTCGTCGAGTGTATCCTTAGGAATCAGACTACTCTCAACTAGTGATTTTAGTGACTTAGCCATTTGGCTTTCGTTTGCCTCAGTTATGCCTCTACAGTTTTTGAAATTTCGTATGGTCGCTTAGGATGAGATTCATTTTGTCTACATAATCACTCTTATTCACGATAACTGTACCAGATCCTTTATCAGGTCTAGTTATTATCACATTTTCGTTCTTCCTGAGGTCACGTGTTTTTTTGTATTTTTAATATATTCCTTGTTTGTTGAAGTTTCTGTAGCAGTTTGATTGGTTTTGTGGTGTAGGGTTGCTAGCCCCACTCCCAGCCCTCCCTCTTTACTCAGGCTTTGGACCTGCTAGAAACTAGCAAGCTTGTTAACTAGGAGTGATTGACAGTGTACACTTAATATAAGTTTATTCATTTTTTTCAATCTCCATCACACTCCACTCGCCATTGTTAATTTCCTGAGGCTACCCCAATACCCACATGTTTTTATTTCCCCTTCACATGATATTCTCTGTACCATTGGATGCCCAGAATGCTGTTTCCCATTTGGTTTCTACCTAATGTCTGGCACATAATGTTTAATTGAATATCTCCTTTACGTATTTCCGTGCTGTCTATATCTTTTCTGCAAATATTTTGTGCAATAGGTTGTTGGCTAGTTGTCTGCTAGATTTCTTTGTTACTTATCACTTGCGGCTGACCATCTTACTTCAGTGTCCTACAGAGACAGTTATTTATTACAGAAATGTACGAACTCACTGTGTTCCCATAGTCACGATTTGTCTGTGACACTTTTAAATTCTAGTCGTGGAGGTAAAGTAACTAAGCAATGAAGGTTAATTCGTCTAAGCTAAACTAGTTTCATGAATTTGTTCGATATCTTATACCATAACCAAATATAATGTCATTACTTATGAGCTCGATGAGAGGGTATCTGTCAAAAATAATCTTATGACTGGTACCTATTATTGTCCTTAGTGTCATTTTGATAAATATTTCGCTTTAATAAATCTTTGTTAATTTTACTTTCCTCTTAGAATGAGAATGATCCATCTGATCCATGTGTACTAGCGCCAGTTTCATTATATAAACCTCAAATTTGTTCAAATATATCACCTAGCCGATTTTTGTATTTAATAGCCAGTGCTGAGTCAACAGTACAACATCCAGTTGCCAAAGCTCTAGTCTCTATAGCACGAACATTTCGTCGGTTTTCATCATCGGCATCATTAATTAATTCAAATGATACAATGTTAAATTTATCTAATGATAAGGAAAAAAATACCGGTGATGCAATTCAATATGACACATCTACTGATTTTGCAAAAGTAAGTAGTAGCTGCCATAATAATTGGATCTTTTTCTTCTTATCATATGGTGACATGGTTAGTCTGTTTTTTCTTTCATCCAGCTCATTAATTCGCTACATGTTCTTGTTGTTATAAAACTTTATAGTTGTTTCGTTTAAGATCAACCACCCGAAGCGGAGCAGATTTTTCATGTACAAGACTAAGAGCTACAGTTATCGTATAAGGACTGATGATACTACCCATTTGCATAGGCTGTGAAGCAGGACTCGAACGCCTGATCCATCGACTGAAAACCGAGTGTTTAAGCCAGTGAACCACACCTTTGTGGTTACTTAAAATAACATTGGTATGGTAAAGTTTGAATCTCGTCACCCACTGATGATGTTTTGCATCACATCGTATATATCGATTTTTTTACGTTTTATGTGTAAGAGTTGGTAAATGACTGAAGTAAGAATAGTCGGATTAGAATGAATAATTTACTGATTATGAGTAAACTGGTTACACTGTTGAACTGTACATCATCTCAACCTGAATTACCCTTAAAACCTGAAAAAAAAATCTATAATTTTATTTTGCTTTAGGCTGTCAGGTTCAATGATAAGCTATACTGAAATATTGGAAAAATTAGATACACTGAAACATATTTACCTAGAGAAAAGTGAAACCAGATATCTTAAACTACTGACATTATATCTACTTGTTAAGTAGAAACGTTTAAAAATCATCGCTTCATTAACTTCATGAAATAGTGGAAAATATAACAAGAAAAAAATTTTCAAGAGTTCCTTTGTAGGGATTTGATTGGTTTCAAGTTTGATCATGGATTGCTATCAGCCGGAAAGCCGTTGAAAACCAGGGAGTACTGGACAGCTGTTTTGTCCTAGTTTGAAACTCATCGGCAGAATAAAATTTGTTAGGTTGTTAGAGGCACTTGGCAGTAAACTCCTTCGGACCTATCTTTAATGCTTATTGATGCCCATCCGCAAGGCATATAGCTAATCTCAAAGGAACTGATGTCCAACTGGATGAATAGGACTCATTTCACTCAGTCCGACAATCTACATGTTACCAATTAGCTCTTCGGTCTCATGATTGGCCTCCTGTAAAACTGCAATGGATACATTGATTGGTCACTAGGGTGTAACCAATGCCATGTATCCAGTCGTTTGTGTTGGTTCTGACTGAATCCTATAAATTAAGTCTGCAACTATGTCACTACACTAGTCACCTCATCATTGTGATGTACTTTGATCTGATGTTATGTCTGGTTTATTTCTCTTATATTTCGGGGAAAACTTTGTCTTGTTGCCTTATTAAAAATATATTTTTGACATGTTTTTTTCTTCACAGATTTCGAAAATTAAAACAATTTCTGGATTAGGCGTAAAATGTGATGTCGACGTTGTCCCATATGATTGTCCACCAGGTCCTGAATTACCTCGACCATATAATTTTATCAACAGTCATAGTAATACTAATGTTAATGATAATAGTGTTAATCTGTTAAAACAATTACCAGATAGACAGTATACTGAAATGAATGTCAATGCAGCCTTACAAGTAAAACTAACTTATGTGTCATGTATGTGGCCAACGAAAAATAAAACCTCACCTGATATCAATGATGATGATAATAATAATGATAATTCTAGAATTGAGAATATTCAAGGATATAATAATCATTTACAAAATATGAATTCTACAAATCTTTCAACTAATGAGTTAGAAACATATCGAAAAGAAGTGGATAATAATAAAAATCATATCAGTGAAAATAATCCACAACAGCTTCTCAATGGATCAGAAAGTATTAAATGGGCAGGTAGGTTGTGAACAGAATTGTTCCCAATCTTTTTATTTTACGAGGCTTTCGATTAAATGTCTAGCCTATTTTGTTATTTTGAATAAAGCAAGAAAAACAGTTTTTTCAGAATAAAATGGCACCATCAGTTATTTCATTGGCTTCTCATCAACTGCTTACAGACCAAAGTCATTATTAAATATAAGTACGGAAACAATTTTAACATACTTGCGCAGAGTTCATTTTTATACAAAAATCAATCAATCACTATGTGCATGCAGTATAATAATAATAATAATAATGAACACTTTATCCCGAACAATAATGATCATACACAATGAAAATTTTTGGCATTACGTAATCAGGTGAAAGAGAGGATGAAATTATCTAGTTACCAGGGCAAGGAAAGACTGATAACCGCTTCTTTCTGAACGCTTAAATCGGGTTTCAGGCGCTTGATGGAGATTACTTTGGCAAACTTAAGGAGTACTGAGCTCTTTTGCCTATTGATCTTGAGACGTCCACCTCATGAGCCGTGTCAAGGAGATGCTTGACGATGGCACTGTGCTACTCATAAACAAATATAAGTAGCATATCAGTAAACGAATTGAGAAAAGTAACATTATGTTTTGGGTACTGGAAAAAGCAATCGAAGAAGAGAACTGTGAGAAGAACATTACAACACTGTACAGAATCCAACAAGCTATCGAATGTGATGATATTCTACCAATTTACAAGTAATGTGCAAATAAAGACTTAAAGATAAGGTATACCAAATTTATGTAGCTACAATGCGTTTTTCCGAATAAACATTGCCTTCGAGCCTCATCGGTCTTTTCTTCTTTGCAATACAACTAACTAGATATAATAACTTATTGACTACTTCAAGCAGTTCATCTGCAGGGGTCAGTTCAGTTGCAAGCTCCTACCAATTTATGCAACAATACTCTGCACTCAGACGCCTCAAAGTATATGCCATGCTTACAGACACCGGTCACCAACCGATTCAATAGGATTTGAGTAGTCTGTATAATATCGCATGATAACGATGTCGTCTGTAAGCTGGTGGTCGAAAAGTTTTTCTCCGAGAGGCAGATCTGCGTCACCGCTACACACATGCTTCAGAATGTCATCGATACCAAAGCTGAAAAGCTATGGTGAGATTCGGCAACCTTGTCTAACCCCACTGCTGCTGGAGAACAGTGGTGACAGCTAGTTGTGTTTGTGTATTGGGCTTTTAGAATGCTAACAAACATCACATCTCTAATAGAGAATTTCAGAGGGCAGTTCTGACCAACTAACCGAAAGTAATCGTATTATCAAGAAATACAACGGCTGCCGCGATTTAATACGTGTGGCACCATCTTACAATCTGGAAGGATCTCAACCTTCTCTTTTCATGTGTCGTACAAGTTTGGGGATCCCGACAGCAGCTAACGTTTGTGATACACTTTGTAACAGACTAGTAGTAGACTACTATGCCAATAGTTGGAAATAATTGGTGACATGGCTCAAAATCGTTCTCAGTGGCGCAGATGCATCCACTCCTTGTGACTTACGATTTCCAATTAAACTGTTTTGTTCTTCGTTATTACTATTCCTTTGTCTCACACCTCTGTTTATTGTCTATATTATGCATTTCTCCTTCCTTCTCTTGCTTTGTGTGGTACATGGAGTGTGGCGACTTGAACTGCCGCACATATGTGGAAAGTTCTATGTCGAAAACCGACCGATCGCTATAATCGTCACTTGCATTACACATTGCGTCGGTGGTACAGTGGTTAGAGCTCTCGACGACCATGCACATGGTCCGGGGTTCAATCCCCTGCCGACGCACACCTGTTATCAACGGTCGGCCTGCAAAATTTGGCATACCGATATCACATGCTGAAAATTCCATACTTGCACCAAAAATACGGTGTGGTTTCAAGCTATAATCAAAAAAATAAATAAATAAAATAAAATATGAGACACTCACTTAGTAGTGGGAATGATAATCTTGTTGGAATCAGGTTGTGATTCATCTTTACCTTTTAATGTTATCATGATAGCAGTATAATTATCTCTTAAATTGAATATTGTATATATATATATATATATATATATATATATATATATATATATAGTACATTTACTGATTAACTGATATTCATAGGGCTTGCAAAATTGCAACCAAGCAGGTGTTCATATGAACTGTGATCAAGATTTGACAGAATAGTCCCAAAATAATTGGGCGCCGAGTGAGAAGTAGACATTTGTAAAAATTATATTTGTAAAATCTCAGTGAAATAAGCAAGTGTATGTTCAGATTTTACTTCTATGTAGTTTATAAACTTGTAGTATATACCTACTTAAAATAACTAAAATTAGATATAATCTTTATATTTAATTAAATAACCATTTATTTTCTGTTTGTTTTTTATCTTACAGATTGTACTGAGGGTGGTATTTATTCTGTAGTTGTTGGTAATCGTCAGTGGTTAAAACAGAATAATATAGCATTACCTATATTTTTATCTACTGAATATTTACCTCATGGACGTGAATTAAACAAAAATATTCGCAACATTCCAACTTTAGAATCATTAGTTGAAGTTGATGAATCACAGGGTCATACAGTTGTTTTTATTGCTATAGACAATAAACTTGTTGGTTTAGTGAGTATATCAGATCCAGTGAAATCGGAAGTTGATTTAACTGTTGCTGCATTACATCATCGTGGCATACGTGTAGCATTGTTAACAGGTGATAATTATCGATGTGCTAATGCAGTCGCCCGTCAAGTTGGTATACGTGAAGTCTATGCGGAAGTACTGCCTGCCCATAAAGCGGATAAAATAAGAGAATTACAAAATTCTTCTATACGTCAATTAAGTAAAGATGAACAATCCAAAAAGAAAAAGCAAATGATGAGGATGAAATCAAAGGGTTTTGTTTTAAAAAAATGTGATTCCTCAATTAATTATAGAGAAAGTAAGTCATATGTCTCAATGTCAGCGAAAAGACTCTTTTCAAGGAATTTATTACCAAGCTGTGTTATCGTGTATATCCAATATCTAGTTCTAAAGTGTTTGAAATTGTTTATAGAAAATTAAAAACTACAAACCAGTTGATTTGTGTACATAACTTCAAATTAGTGTTCATAGTCATGATTTTCTAAGGCATATACACCTTTGTTTGGTCAGCACCCTTCACCTACTGAAGCTGCCACTATGCTACTTCCTAATAATAACGAAACATTCCGATTCTCTGGGTGTATGTAGATGTTTTCGATGCTTATTGCGTGTTTAGTTAGAAGTTACTTCCTGATTTATTTATTCACCTGACAATTACTTGCAACTACTACTGGAATAGGATAAGGTCATTTAATATATCACTATATTGCATATTGTGCGCCCGTGGTTCTAAAGTATAATGCTTGTCAAATATGCATGTGGTCTGAGTTCGATTTCCGGCCGACACACTATTTGACCTCGCCTTATTTACTGACCGAAAGAAAGCCCAGGAAAGTGAGAAGATTTGCCGGGAGGTTAGCAACCCACACTCGTAAGAAAAATCACGTAACTACCAAGACTCCAAAAAGAAGCTTGAAGCCTTTTTTCCACTCGGAACGTAAAGAAATGTAAAAATATTGCTTCTTACAAAGTGGCAGTCTAATCAGATAGTCAACAACTTCAGTACTGGAAGTGATGTCGGTCTGAAGCCTTTCCGGAAAATGAATTTTTCAAATATATAAATGCATGTATTCGGTAATTGCTAACAATCGTAAACTTCAAGACTTCTATATCTCCATGTTTGTCCATTTGTTTCCATATCGGTTCAACAGACAACCATCAATTTACTGAAATACAATAATCAGGATAAAACTTTCAAAAAAGGATACCAATACATACTCCTAAAATTTTCGACATCTAAGTGAAGTTAGAGCATGCATTAACCTCTGTTATTCAATTATTCCGCTAACCTATGATCACGAATTCTACAGACGAACAAGAACCTCGTTTAGGGATTGACTCTGTGTCTCTCTTTTTACATTCTAAATTTCTTCTACCGAAATAATAAAGCCAATAAAAAAATTTTCCTTACCTCACCCATCCATTACTTTTCTCCATTTCTTTCTTGTCCAACTAATCTGTGATGCCTCCTATCACCGATTATATTCCGAAATTCTGCCACAGTGTGTCATGCGCCAAACTATGGATATCAAAGCAAGAATCGGAAAAGCAAGACAAGCTTTCACTACTCTCAAGTCTGTGTGGAGGTCAACAGCACTCAGCATCAAAAATAACATCCAGATTTCCAACTCCAATGTGAAGTCAGTGCTACTATACGGATCAGAGACTTGGCGCGTCATAAAGAGCATCTCAAACAAACTACAGACCTTCATTAACAGTACTCAAGATTGGATGGCCAGAAAACATCAGCAACAGAGATCTCTGGGAGCGAACCAACTAGGAACCGATTGTGAAACAAATATGCAGGAAGAAATGGAGATGGATTGGCTGGCCATACTCTGAGGAAACCATCAAGTGACATCACTAGACAAGCTCCCGAGTGGAACCCGAAAGGGAAGCAGCGAGCTGGTCGTCAGTGCAAGGGTGACTTGGAGGAGGTCATGTGAAGAGGAGATGAAAAAGTATGGGCAGACTTGGAGCCAGGTGAAGACTCTAGCAGAGAACCGAACGCAGTGAAGACGCACGGCTGAAGCCCTATGTTCCTCTAGGAATTAAAGGATACAATAATAATAATTATAATAAAGAAACAGGCAAACAAACAAAATTAAGTCATCAAAAATCAAGAAAGTTGTTACCAAGACAGTAGAATTGGTTGAGTAATCCTCTTTTGTATGCACAGCTCCGGTTTGCTATGTGAATGACCACAGCTTCAGCGATGCAAAGAAGACGAAACTGTGTTGCCTTTGATAGGTTATTCTTGACTCTGTAGATTACCCTAAAGGAGGCATTTGTTGAGATGGAATGATCTGTGTTAACCAGATGTTCACTTATTGCACTCTTTATAGCACCACTATTGCCTTTTCGGAACCATGCTCGATAGTGTTCTTGAATCCTCTTGGACAGGATGCCCGTCGAACGACGCATGTACCTGACTCCACAGCAGCAGGTGAACTTTAATATGCACACAGAAGTATTCAGATGCGGGAAATTTTCCTAAGGCTTCTGCAGAGCAGTAGGCAACTGGAGAACACTATTCTTAGCCTTGCTGCAAAGAATGTTCTCAGAGATCAGGTGATCCTTCTCTTGAGAATATCGCCTGCTAAATCTCCCTTGAAGTTCAAGTTCATGTAGAGTTTCTTTTTCGGCGCAAGTGAAGTTTCATTCCTCCAAATTCTTGGTTTGATAATTTTGTCAATGAATCTTGGTGGGTATCCATTTTGGATGAAGATTTCTCTCAAAAGATCTAATTCTGTTTCTAGAACATTGGGACTACAGAAGCATCGGATAGGGGTTGCAAGGGATTCAGTTAAATTTCGCTTTTGTTGAATGGGTACCCAGCTATAGGAGCTTGTTAGTTGGTCAGATTCGCCTCTCTGACTCCAACGAAGAATATGTTGTTTTTTTAAATATTTTTTGTTTTTTTTTAATAGATTTCTTGTGTGTTGAAGTTTCTGTAGCAGTTTGATTGGCTTTGTGGTGTAGGGTTGCTAGCCCCACTCCCAGCCTTCCTTCTTTACCAGGGCTTGGAACCGGCTAATAAACTAGGCGAGTTTATGTTAATGAAATGAATAACGAATATTGGAGTCCATCTTGACTTTGTTGTAACTACCTTCAAACACTTTTTGAATCACAAAATGTAGCCGATTCATTTCGAAATTCTTTAATATTTTCTTTTTATTTGTAAAAATGAAGTCAATGTATTTTAGTCTCTATATGATATTCTGTCTAAATATGTTTATTTTCTTTTTCACAACATATTTTACATTTTAGACCCAAATATGAATAAATCAGCAAAACAATATCGTTTTAAGTATAAAGTTGAACCATTAATGTTTAAAACACACACTGACAATTATTCATCACCGCATTCTTCAAGTGAATATACTTTTTCAAGTGATGAATATATTTCAGATGATGAATTTAGTGCTGATCATAATAATAGGTATAATTCTCATGTAAATCATGGACCGAAATCAACAAAACACCAATATTCCATTACACAAAAGCTTAAAATATTGATAAGTGGAAATAGGTTGTATAGATCTTGTTGTTGTTGTTGTTATGCCAATGAATTTACTTTAGAATGTGGTAGTGATCGTCAATCAACGTCTTTCCGTCATCGACAAGCACAACGTCGTGAAAATTTTAAACAGAATAATTCATCTGTTTCACCACATTCAAAGTATAAACGACAATTTGTCGCAATGGTCGGTGATGGAGTGAATGATAGTCCTGCTTTAGCTCAAGCTGATGTTGGCATTGCAATTGGTCGAGGAGCAGATGTTGCTGTAGAAGCTGCTGATGTTGTATTAATACGCAACTCTTTAATTGATGTAGTTGGTGCGATTGACTTGTCAAAAACAACTGTACGCCGGATACGTTGTAATTTTGTTGCCGCAACCTTATACAATTTGATCGGTATACCCATAGCAGCTGGTAAGATTGTATTAGGCAAATAATTATATATATATATATATATATATATATATATAGACCTATAGGAGATGTATATATATACATATATACCGAATGGAATATAGGGCTTCAACAGCGTATCTCCATTTCATCCTGTTCTCTGCAGTCGTCTTCAGATGGCTCCACAATTCCCTATGAGCTCCCATCTCCTACCCACATGATCCTCTTCACGTCACCCTCGGACGTCCAACTCGTCGTTTCCCATTCAAGAACAGGCCTAGTGCGCGATGTCACTCAACCGTCTCCTCAGCATATCTCCGATCCACCTCCATTTTCTATGGCATATTTGTTGAGCAATAGATTCTTGGTTGGTTCACTGCCTGTGAGAGATCCTTGTTGCCAATCCTTTCTGAACATCTGATCTTCAATGTGGAGTGAAGGCAGCTGTTGTTGATAAGAGTCTGTAGCAGACTGTTGGAAGTGAATTTCGTGACGAGCCAAGTCTTTGAACCATATGGAAGCGGTGATTTGACACTAGAGTTGAAAATCCGAGTCTTGATCTTTATGCTGAGTGGAGCAGATTTACACTGATTTCAGAGTAATGAACTCCTATCTTGCCTTTCGGATTCTGGTTTTGACATCTTCATCCCTTCCGCCTGTAGTTGAACCGATGCTGCCTAGATGAGTGAAAGAGGTGACTTCCTTCAAGTTCCTGTCGTTGATAGTGGTTAGCGCTTGTTGTTTTTAGTTGGTTATGTCCATCACCTCCATCTTCTCTATGTCCACTTGAAGTCCTGTCTTCACCGCCAGCCTTTCCTGCCAACTTATTGGTTTTCGCTTGCAAGTCTTTGGGTTTGTGTGACATTAGAGATAGGCAATCTGTGAAGTCCAGATCATCTAGAGTCGTCATGTCAATGCAACTTATTCCTGTGTCCTTGAAACTTTTCTTTGTATTTATGCGGGTGTATTCCTGTCGTTGTCGTTTTGTTGATTTCCATCTCATTTTTCGCTTGGATAATGGCAATATTATCTACTTTATGTATTTGGAACTTATTCCTTTTGATTTCTTGCGTTAGCGTTCAGTTTCCATTTGTATTTCTAGCAGTCGTTATTTTGTATTCCTCGTAACCCTTGTAGCGTACTTTTTAGTGACTTTAGATTTATGGGCATTATGAATTATTCTTTAGTCAGTTGTCCTATGTGCATATTTGCATTGAAATCAGTCAGTTTATTTCACATAGCTTATTGTCTACGGATGTGTGATTCATATTATCTAAAGTAAACTTAAAGCCACTAGCTTGAAGCCCTATGTTCCACTGGAGAACGTGAAGGAAAAAAAAAGGTAATGCATATTCAATCACGCAATAATTGTCCAGGTTTTTAATCATTGTTCAACTATTTTGCTTGTAGATAGAGTTATTATCATAAGTCTGTTGTACAACCCACACTACTTGTGTCTCATAGACATGTATATTAACTCTTCCTAAATGAGGTGGATAAGTTGCATCGGTTATGGTTTACTTTATGCCGCAAGCGGAGGCGTTTCTCATGTTTTCTGCCATTAAGCTACTTGAACATCATATTTTTGTTCGTTTACACTGGATGTGAATGCAAATTAGTTATGCTAAGTGCCACATACATTTCAAATATACTTGAGTTTGTATGTGGATTTGAAATACATCTTAGCATTCGCTCTAACTATAGGTATCTTCTTTCAGTTGTTCAAATTAGATAAGGCAGTACATCAAACAATGTTGAAGTTGATCATAAACACTTTATTAAGGAATATGATTCAGTTGGTCAGTTTTCAAGACTTTAATAATTGTGGCAGTTGGGAAACATATTTTACATACAAACCTTGAAGATGAATTTTAGCTGGAGTAAGACTAATTTCAAGAAGTTGTAGGAATTGTCAAACAGAAGCATGGGATCAGTCGATGAAATCCTTCAAAGTTGGTGTGACCCATGTGGGCAAATACTTGCTGGGGTCCTCGCAGTGTTAAGAATCAACTATTGGGAACTGTTGATGACATCGCGCAGATTTATTCACTCATTGTATTCTTTCGAATTCTAAAAGTTGTCACTAGTCTTCATTGATTTATTCCCCCCGTCGTACATCTTCGTCTCCCGTATTTCCAGTACATTCCCCAACCCTCGTGTATATTTTTCGAAGTGTGTTAAATTTAGGTGATGCACTTTTGTGCGAAGCTCTCCGGTGATTTGTCACTCATTGAGGATGAGTTATGTATAGTAATGAAATATTGTGTATTTGGTAACTTCTGGTTTTTCAAACTGTTCTAGTCAATTCTCTTTCGAGTCACCTGAATGAGGAGGAAAACTCGTTTTTCGTGACTGCCTAGGAATATCTGTGTGGCATGGGTCAATCACAAGCTTCTTAAAGTTACTGGAATTTGTGAATTTTTGTCCGTAATTGGAACCTGGACGCTGGCTATGGATGTATCTAGTCGCATTGTGTAGTTCTATTGGATTTCATCTTCTGGTCCCTTTTTTACAAACTGCTAAGGCAGAGTAGCCGCTAAATTGGCAATCCGAAGGCAACATTTTGCTCCGATTATACCTCCCGCTATCAGTTTCATTACCACTCATCATATCGTAACTGAGGTAATAACTGTATTTGCCTTTCAATCGACTTTCCTAACAAGTAGGACTTTCCGCAACAACTACTCCCACCCCCAAATAACTTGTATCATTGCGATATGCAAATCCGACTACCCTTTCAAAGTAGAAGTTTTCATCCAAGTGACTATAAAAGTTGTCTTAGCAAATGCTCAAGCAGATCATATTTAAAGTTAAATAAGTTCATTTTATTTCAGCTGACACCTTCTTTTCTCAACAAATCATGCAATAGTCATGGTGTTTCTTATATATGGGAGGCTTGCAACGTTACTCATGTATTCGTTAAACTAAGCTAGATTTATCAATTCGTCTTATTTATGTAAATTCTGATGGAGCATCTGAGACCATTTGGTAATTTTCAATCAGACAGAGTATATAATAATTATTATAAATTACTACAATAGATCGGAATCCAGATGTAACATTAAGTATTGCATTGATTTTATGCTCCTTGTGCTTGGTACACTTTTCGCTGCAGTATAAAATATACGTGTTGTGCCAACTGAAATTTTGTTTCGATCAGTGTGGTAATTTGTCTTTTGATTTTCTTATAAACTGTTTTTGTCGTTGTTATAAATGACAGTTTTGTATTATTGTTTATTTAATTCCTTTCGTTCCGAGTGAAAAATGGGACTTCAAGCTTAAGTTTTGGAGTTTCAGTAGCAATAGTGTTTATATTTTTACTGGATGAAGTTGCCAGCGTCATGTCCAGCCTTCCCTGTCTACGGGGATTACTACTGGTTACTGGAAGTTTAGGAATGTGCAACCGGGATCGAATCCAGAACCATATGCTTAGTTGGTGAATATTCTACCACTGAACTACTGACTCACATAAATAAAACTAGTTTGCTATATAACTTTTTGTTGACTAAATTAATGAATGGTGAAAATTATTTTATCACTTTACTTAAATATCCTTAAGGTTCTAAATTCTCTTGCTTTTTTGGGCTTCTTCTTAAGATTCATGCTTAAAATGCATTAATTCCCACTACATATTTTGCTAAGTGTAAGATGATGCTATAGAAAAGCGTGAAGTGGTTGAATGCGTTCACCGCTTCTCTTGTTTTTAGAATGGTATCAGTGACTAAATCTTAGTGCAGTTGCATAAAACCCGTTCTACATTTCCCAGCTTGTATTAGCTCCAGACATAAATCACACTTACGAATTATTTCGAAATTTCAGTAACATTCATTGAAACATTGTTATCACAATGTGGAATGCGAACGTTACAGTCAAATTTACACTCTTTTTCTGTCAATCATAATAAGACAGTCGAAAGTAACATCTCTAGCAGTCATGCTTCCATTGGGCATTATATTCGCTGTTTTAGTTTCTGTCTGATGAAAGCAGTCAGGGTTTAGTCAAGTCATTGTTTGATAGAGCTTAAAATTATTAATAGTTCTCTGAAGGTGTTCATAAGTAAGTACTGAAGAATGTTATCACAGTCGGGAAAAAGTGTTTTTTTCTATCTATTTACCTTTCAAAATTGATACTACGTCACAATGAGTCGACAAGAGACTATGAGGTTGCTCTTGCAAGAATATTGACCGCCAGACTCAAATTCTCGGCATCATACTCATTTGGGACACGAACTGGATATATCTAATATGTTTTACAATTGTCAATGAACAAAGGAATGCGGCTTTATATCGTTTTACTGAATCATTCACTTATCTTTGTTAACAAATGTGCATCGTGATTTATCCCGCTTTTCTGTGGTAAAACTTATCAGTTTTTTTTGCTTTCTTTATTAGTTTTAATTTTTAATCACTATACTGATATTAGCTAGCCTATCTGATAATAACTTACTCCCCTTATGTTGCTTACTGAACAATGTCTTCTAAACTAATGATAGGTGTTGGCCGGTTTCTTTCTGTGTCAATTATGACGAGTATGTCAACATGTCATTCGTGACTGTTTTGTTAAACTTCAACCTTTCTTATTCTGTCAGTCTTATATAGCCAGAAAAAAAAGTCTCGAAATAAAATGAGTACATTGTATAGTGCAAATCTTGCTTACCCTGCTTTCATGATTTAGATTAAGGCAACACATTGAATACATTATGACCCATTTCAGCTAACATACATTGCCCGCTGTAGGTTATTCATCACATATAGCATTAAAGCGGACATTTTTGTGATCATTCTGATTGTTGTAAGTGGTTCCCAACTACTCTTATCAACCGTTAGTATACATAGCAAGAAACTTAATTGTTTTCAAATGTAACATTACATCAGTTTTTTATCCTCCTGTTAAATTTCTTTTTCGTACTTTCAATAGGATGTTTACTGCCATTTGGAATAGAATTGACACCTTGGATAGCATCTGCTGCAATGGCTGCTTCATCTCTCTCCGTAATTTGCCTGTCGTTACTCTTAAGACGTTGGAGGAAACCAACATCAGCATCACTTGTCTGTCCTGAATATGTGAAATTCCTTGCTTCTCCGCGGTTACCCGATATCAAGGTATGATATATATATATGTGCTTTCTTGTCTTATTGTTATTATCAGTCAGTGCAGTTTCTACAATAAACGGAACTGATATGAAAGTTTCTGATTTCATGATAAATTTTTAGCGATTGTAATCAGAATTTGTGGTTAATTGGCTTCATCAAGTTACTTGTAATGGTACTTACTCATCGGTGTACAGTTGATGTCATTTTCATCGTATGCATAATTAATATTGATTGGAAAGTATACAACATTGAATTCCGACTCGCTCACCAAACGGTAGTTTATTCGCCATGAAACCTAACTGTCTTGCTCTTAACCCTTCCGATGCCTTGAATGAGCACTGCTGAGACAGCTGCCCAATTCCTGTAGATAACGGTTTGAAATGAATCTACTTCAATCTGACCGTGTTATGTTTACTTTTTTGAGAAATTGTGGTTGACACAAATTGCTTATGGAGTATTTATACAATATGGCCTACTGAGTAATATAACTTAGCTGTATACAATGTTTCTTAGTCGTAATTGTTATATCATACTGTGGCCAGTGCTACTGATAAGATTTGTCAGTAGTACATAAAGAGATGTTCGTCGGCATAAAAACACCAAATAGCAGGGGGATACGTTTGATTTCAGAGAAGGCAAATAATACAGCGTTATGGAGACATGAAAAGAAAACAAAGAAGCACAATATGAAGTCCGGAAGTAGCGCAAGACGAAGACCTGTGCAAATTGTGCGCTGACGATAAGGTATACATAATTTGGCTGTATAACAATTCTTCACGATGTCTTTGAATATTCCTGTTGCCTCATTGATGCTTCATGTAAATTCACTCTGAAGGGTACTCTGTTGTTGTAGGTAACTATATACCACCTTAGTATAATAATAATTGCCTTATTCCAAACAGTACTTTTGGTACAAATATGGAATTTTCAGCATGAAATACAACATAGCATCTAATTTTCACATTACAGGGGCAATAGTTAAAATAGGGCATTTACATTAATAGTATTGTTCAATAAGAATCCTCATCAACCTGCATTATATTATCTTTTCAGTGCTATTTTTTATAGTCAATTTTGTATTTCCCGTTGATTGATTATGTTGGACCGAAATGTTCAGTCTCTGCTGACATGTTGGCTTCTAGCATGGACGCTTCGACGATGTTTGAAGATTAACATGGTCTAGTATACTGAATCAACAGACAATACAAAATTAACTCAAACACAGAATAAGTGAGATCCCTTGCACGAGAGGTGTGGCTGTGGTCGCCCAAGTAGCCTAGTGGATAAGGCTTTTGAAACTGTCATACATTTATTGTGACAACTTCAAAAATGTTCTACATAATAGTTCATAAACCAAATATTTACTTCTTTTAATACAACAGTTTTCAGGCATTTAATTTCTACTGGACATCAGTTTTGAATCAGTCGACCAAAATTATGAAATCAGTTTGACTGAGTTTTCAGCCTACAACTTTGCACAAAACGGTAGCAGTTCAAGTCACCACAATCCATGTAGCACACAAAGGTAGAGAGAAATAATAATTTAAACAGACTATATTGGAAAGATATGTAATAGACAAAAAATAAGTACATAAAGAATAATGAGAATCTGGCAGATTTGGGAGTTCATAAAAAGTGAATGCATCTGCATCATTGAGGGCAGTCTTCAGTCATTGGTTCTTAGTATCCCGAGGACCCTAATTAGACAATCTACACCTAACTACGTGCCTAAAACCAACAGTCAAAGACATCATGATTTGACAAACATTCACTCCCTTCCAACATAATGTCATTTCAGGTGGCATTGTTAGTTAAAGAAAGTGATGGCTGCGCATAAGTAACACGTATCCTAGCCTTCTCAATTAATGTAGCATCATAACCTCATCGGCTGGGTTTCCCTGCTTATCTAACGCTCTACTCGTATCCTCATTATTACTGCCCACATCACACCATTTAACATGGGAGATAGAAAGCAAACATCTGTGGTCAACGACATCTAACGAACTGCCGCTCACTGTTTGTGCGTTGACTGGTAGTCAGATACCTACACCGGGAATAGCAGTTTGGTAAGTGCTACACGACTTTTTTGTGTCCGTGCTGAGATTCTGGCAGCAGTGAGTCCTTTGGTGATGTGATCCCCCAAATAATTGAGGTGGTCAATATGCTCAACCATTTCGATACCTATCTTTGAACTAGGAGTTGCTGTAGACTAATCCTGCAGCATCTCCTTGCATTTGACAGGGATGAATCGCTTGCCAAACATACTAGGTTATTTGCTCTGGATGTTCAAAAGACTCTGCATTTTGTCACCATCTCCACCTAGGAGGACAATGTTATCAATAGACTTTAAATTGACGAGACTGTACCCTGGTAACAAGTCAATCCATAAGTCTCTAAAGTTGATTAGGGTCGCATCCACTGGTACATCTATAATAAAATTAAACAAAAATAGGGACTGTAGGCATCCAATGATGGACACTACTTGGTTGTCATTACTTCAGATGGCAACTCTCGGTTAGCTACAAAACGGCTGCGTGAGTTCCAGTAAAGTGTCTTGAGTTAGTGCCTTATACCTTCTCGGTCAGACATTTCCATAGCACTTCTGGGTCAACGGAGTCGAATGCCCCTTCCAGGTCACGAAACATGGAAAGTTGTTGGACGCCAGTTAATATTCTTGTTCTAAAACTTATCGAAAGGTAAAGATATGACCAATACACCCTCTTCCTGACCTAAAGTCTGTCTGTTTTTCTGGGCACCGCCTAGTTTGCGCATGATTATTGAACCCTAACATTTTAGATGCTATATCAGTCAGGCTAATCTCCCTGTGATTATCGTAGGAAAACTTATCACCTTTCCTATGAATTGCAATAACCAATATTTTGGTTGATAAAACCTTCTACTAACTGATACCACTGATTATTATACTTCCACTTCTAGTTGTTGAGGGAAGAGGTGAGAGACGTAGATTTTATATTACTGATTGATTGAAATAAGTATTTGTATACCACTCACATCAACCTTTAGGACTTTCTATCTAGATCGAAGTAATCTGAATACCAGACGACTTTTTTGGTTGTTCTGGGCCGAGCTCATCACCGGTTTGATTCAGCCTGGAGAGCTGTGAGTGAGTCAAATGCAGCTACCCATTGCAATCAACCAGTAGTATATAGCTTCATACAAATGTACTTGCTTCCTTGGTTACCATTTATGGCACCAAACAGATCACAAAATACAATCTGAATGGTTTCGGTCCCCCAGAAGAAACTGTTGAAATTTTAGCTCCTTAAACTGTGTAAATTGCAAACTGCGAATCTGATTTCAGGTAAGAGATATGTTTGTCTTAAGATGGAGAAGTCAAACTATCACAGCGACCTAGGACAACCAATCAGAATTCAGATGCAAAAAAGTCACATAACCGTTCAAAAATGCATTAAAAAGCATTGCAAGTATGATACTATACTGGATAATTGTCACTTATGTGTTACAAGAATGTCTCCCAGTCAATACACGGGTATTCTGTAGAGAAATCTTACCATTAGCGATAGATGTATTAATCCAGGTGACTGTAGATCATGGTACTTGGAGATCCATTGATAATTCTGACATTGTTCTTTAACCTGTCCCTAACTCTAACTGTAATCCTAACCTTAACCTTAGGCACTAGCCTTAATCTAAAATACCATAATCCTACTTAACAGTAGATTTACAAAGAATTACCTAGAGAATGAGTAGACTACTGTACTGACTGACTGTCACTCCGTTATTTTTCTCTTAAAATGTTCTTAGAAACTTACCCGAACATTTGACTGATAATTTATGACACTTGGGTTTTTGTTTTCCATTCGTTAAAATTGGTTTCATTTCAACTAGATAAAAACCAGGCAAAGACGGGACAGCCAGTTATCATCAGGACTTCATAGCCTAGCAGATAAGGCATTATCTTTACGCAATAGTTGGCGTAGTCTGCTTACTCGTCGTAGTCCACCAGTGTGTAACAATTCTGAAGCAGTTGACAGTCAGAACTTATTAGACACCTCTGGTGATGGAAACGAATCCGAAGATGAATTAATAAGAAATCCAGTAATGAATAGATCAGTAACATCATTACGTGTTCAACATCATGCTGAAAAAAATAATCCATCATTTGAAATGAGAAGAACGTGCAGTTTTAGTAATCGAAGACGTCCATAACCTTTTACTTCCACCACTTTTTTTGGAAATTATTCAATTAATATTCACGCACCAGACAGAATTCCAAAGGAAGAAAGTTGTGGTCCCTTTTCTTCCGCGGTACTTATATAGTCAGCTTGCCTTCTAAGTATCATACAATCTTAGGAAAAATTTGAATCTACCAGTCATTTGTTATTAGCACTGTTTGATTGACTATTTCAGTTCTTGTTATTTTTTACAACTCTGTGCATATTTTCCTCTTACCACCTTTATTTTTAGTATATTTTGTTTATTTCTTTCGCGATCTGTAAACTTAGTCTATTCATTCTCCTAAAAGTATAAAACTACCATTACTTTCTTTACACATAATATTTTTGACTGTGAAATTTCATTTCGCGTTCATTTGTAATTCGTTTATGCATTGCCGTTATTGTGTTTAATTATATAAATAATATTGATTACTGTTTAACTATAGCTTTAAAAATGATAATATTTCGTTTTCCTGTGATTCTTTTCTCCTTTCTATCTTTAAAAAGAGTCTTTCTATCAATTTTTTTGGTTGGTTTATATTGATAATTATATATGATGTTATTATAATAATGCTATTTGTCGCTTTTTTCATGTGATACAAATGATCCTATAAAACAAATTAAATATGTGATTCTTCATTGGTTAACTTTACTAAACAATTATTCTCAACAATTTAATAGCTGCGCTGATGTTGATGAGTAGAAATAATTAATTAATTTCTACAAAAGATAACTCTGATGTTGTTTGTTGAACTTCTTATCTCTCTATCATTCATTTCTTGAAAGGAAGTAAGTGAAATAAACTACAGTGATAATTTATTATTAATCATTTGGCTTTCGAGTAGAACATAGGGCTTCAACAGCATATCTCCATTTCATCCTGTTCTCTGCAGTCGTCTTCAGATGGCTCCACAATTCCCTATGAGCTCCCATCTCCTACCCACATGATCCTCTTCACGTCACCCTCGGACGTCCAACTCGTCGTTTCCCATTCAAGAACAGGCCTAGTGCGCGATGTCACTCAACCGTCTCCTCAGCATATCTCCGATCCACCTCCATTTTCTATGGCATATTTGTTGAGCAATAGATTCTTGGTTGGTTCACTGCCTGTGAGAGATCCTTGTTGCCAATCCTTTCTGAACATCTGATCTTCAATGTGGAGTGAAGGCAGCTGTTGTTGATAAGAGTCTGTAGCAGACTGTTGGAAGTGAATTTCGTGACGAGCCAAGTCTTTGAACCATATGGAAGCGGTGATTTGACACTAGAGTTGAAAATCCGAGTCTTGATCTTTATGCTGAGTGGAGCAGATTTACACTGATTTCAGAGTAATGAACTCCTATCTTGCCTTTCGGATTCTGGTTTTGACATCTTCATCCCTTCCGCCTGTAGTTGAACCGATGCTGCCTAGATGAGTGAAAGGGGTGACGTTTTTAGAAACTAAAAGGGACAATGATAATGGGAGTTTTAGAATTGATTCGTTATACTTGTTCTGTGTATCTTCAAGTGTACTTTGTTTCACTACGAAAATTTATTCCAATTGTTAGTTTACAGGGATTGTCTTAATTTCAAGTTTGTTCACGAACTGACTTCAGTTAGAGAACAGTTGGTAACCAGGGATTGCTGGATAGCTGTTTGGGGCTCTCCAGCACGATGAAACAGCTATCCAACACTCCCTGGTTCTCTGGTTGAATTCGGTTTGTGACCAAACTTGAAATGAAGACAATCCCTGTTAATCAAGACTTGAAAATTAACCTAGTATCTCACTACAGGATTAAGTTCTTGTGAAAAGTCGTGACCAGAGGGTTCCACCAAGTTGGGTGTGAGGACGGCTATTCACCGGTGTTATTGACTGGCGGTCACGCTATATGTCGCGAATAGGCAGAAGTTAGAATTGGTGGGTCATTGAACTCTGTCCCAGTGGCTGGATGGTATGCGAGTTGACCTTTTAACTTCAATGTCGTGGGTACCTACTGATATAAGGTCCCGAACAAGGGTGAAACAGCTGTCGAATGCTTTCTGGCTTTCAATACTTCTTTAAATGAAGTCATTTGGGGATAAAACTTGGAGACAAATTTATTCCACTGTATTTTATGATTGACATATTTCGACCAAAGGCTGATGGTGAATGTACTTATGAACGGTTGAAGTTGAAAGCTGCTGAATATTTTAAATGTGTACAATTTTCGCCTCCAACGAAAAAAAATGGTTTCATGCTTCGTATCACAATACCAACTTTCCGCCGATTTTGATTTTACTGTCAATTTAACAACCAAAAGAAACTAATAATGACTATATAAGGCTGCTGTGTGCAAACGTATCTGTCACTTCTTATGCCTTAATACCGTTCTCTACATTAATAAGTCGCTGTGAGATTGTCAAATGAAGCTTATATTTGCTTTCCAGTACGACTTGTTTTAAAACTTGTATTCTGTAAAGTTAAGCACTGCATTTTAGGTTATCTGTTGAGTAAAACTATATCCCAATATATTCCAATAGACTTAGTTTGCTGAAGTGATAAGAAGGTCGTTGCAGGACTAAAATCTAATAATATACACAAACCATCTACCTAATGTAGATACATAACTGTGAGACCTGAAGAGGTCATCCAAAAGCATATTCTTTGCTCAATAACCTGTGTTTCAGGTATAAGTCTTCAGATACCTTTTGAGAAAAGCCAACGTAATTTGTGAAATCGCTTTGAGCTACCTCAGAATTTCATTTTGTTCAGCAACTACACATGTTAACAGCATTTACAGTGTAGTAGTTATTACCTCGGCTGTCACTTTGTACTAATGTTGTCTCCTTTAGTTCCTAGAGGTACATATAGCTTCAGTCGCCCTTCTTCATTGCTTTCGGTTCTCCGCCAACGTTTTCACCTGGATCCATGTCTGCGCACATGCTTTCATCTGCTCTTCGCATGACCTCCTCCACGTCACCCTTGGACGACTAACTCGCCGCTTCCCATTCGGCTTCCACTCGAAATGCCTGGCGTGTGATGTCACTTGATGGTTTGTTTTCTCAGAGTATGGTCAATCCACTTCCATTTCTTCCTGCATATTTGTTGCACATTTGGATCCTGCTTGCTTTGTTCCCAGAGATCTCTGTTGCTGATCTTTGTACTCAGGTTTAGTCTGACTAGTAAACAAGTATGCAGGATGAGAATATGGTCAATCTTTCACCCTTGCTAACGGCATATTGATTACGCTGATTGCACAGTGATCCATGTTGGGGATTTCACCTCACTGAATTAATTTCAGTATTATGAATGATAATTTTCTCGACTTAATTATGTTATTAAAACACAAACATACACTGGACGGCGAGAGATACACCACATACAATCCTATAGCTTGTGCAAGGAGTAGGGTGCTGGCCGGACGCCTAGACCGAAGCAAGTGGTTGTCTTAGTGGGCCACTTTCCAAGCCTTCGACTTGAAGTCTCATCCACAAGGCAGTGGAGCAGCATTCCCATGGTTAACGATGACCGACACAGGTTCATGCGCCACTCGATCTGTTCTGATTCTGGAGTCGATGTACACCATAGGTCTCGAATTAAAGTTTCTAAGCTCCCTTAAGTGGACTGGCATCTCTACCAGTCCGGTTATAAACGCTAGACGTTCGCATTCACCTTTCCACTTTTTTAAGTAACACACCTGCCCTATGAAGGCAATAAATGGCAATTACCCGTCAAAGGCTATGAACGCGTAGGCACAGGACAGCACTTCGAGAGGAATACTGAAGTCTAACCACCCTTGGTCCAGCTAGGTCATTTGTGGGGGTTATCTTATAAGATGACAGCGCTTTCTCTGTATTCTGCTCCCCTTCGGTTTTTGTTCTGAAATGCCTATAAATTTAAGGTAGCTAAAAATTTTGACGTTGACACTTTGGTTACCTTAATGCATAAGGGGTTCTCTGTCTCCACTTAAATACTGAAATGTGTCGTTTTCATTTTTTTTTCCTATAACCATTGTCATCTCAGGTAGTCTGCAGCCGTTGACTACCGGCAAAATGAAATACCACCTGGTACTGCAAATCTAGTTTCTCTTGCTTCATCGAGGTTTATCAAGGAAATATGCATGAAACCCTTTTTTAAGAGAAAAGAGTGAATAAATACAACACCACCAATCATCTGCGACATGTAGCTTGGAATTCGAATTCAAACGAAACGTCGCGTGAATGAGAGCCATTCAAAATAGTTTTAAAATGACGTATATGTAATGTCATTAAGTGAGATACGACAGTATCTACAAAGAGTCTATTTAGAAATAACCTCCACTTTAACTTATCCCCTTCCCAGGAAGTCAAATTCGTGTTATAGGCACAAAATAGTACAATAATAAAAATGGGAGAAATTCCCATATGACCTAGGCAGTGTTGGAAAGTTGATTCATCTTAATAATGACCTACTACATTCCCCAAAACCTAGTAAGCAATCTTCTATTTTGTTTCTTAAGTGATATCATGATCAAAAACCTTGATATTTAACGCTGTCAACAGTACTACTCAAAAATTATGAACTTCAGTTAATCAGTGGTGGGTAGTATCGGTAACCAAGACGCAGATTACAACTTATTTGGGACCCGTTAGCCGATAGTACCTGTACCAAGTGAGTGATGTCACCAGACACCAAATTCAAATGCTAAACTAAATGTCAACAAAAATCGAGCACTCCGTTCCCTTAAAATAAATTAACGGGTTATTCAAATTAACTCTGATAAATATAAATGTATCGGCAAGGATATGATGGGTGAAGTCCAGAAGATGAAGACAGTATTCATTATAGAACTAGAATGAACTGCAAAGATGACGTTGCGAAACTAAGTGACACAATCTAACAATGAGATGTGAACGAATTTGTGGCCAACCTCTAAATTTCAAAATCAAACAAACTGAATTAACGAATTTAGCACACACAAACGTCTATTCATTGATAATACACCAAACAAAATGCATCCCCTGTGGTCCAAACACACACTGACATTTATGAAACTTCTACACACCCGAACTGTTGCTTGAAACCAGTTCCCGGTAGGTCTCAATCTACGAGAATGGCCACTATTATGTGTGCTGATGATATCACTTGCTCAGGTTGGACAGGATGAATAACTAACGCCGAACCACCTCTCTTCTTGAATGTCATTCCCCAGGACCGGAAATACGGAGATAGTTGAGAGAAATACGTATAAAAGATAGGTCAGTAAAACAGGCTTCTTGTTCCAGATGGGGGCAATTGACCGACAAGAAGTAATCAACCGACACAAACAAATTTACTGTGTTGAGCGTCGTGTCTCCGATAGGGATTCCCAGATTCATCTGTCCGCCAATGTCGCAGCAAAATGCAGTCCAACTAGAGTAGTTACCATCATCTACTACCAGTGATTTGACTTAGGTATACTTCAAGCTTAGTTCTGTAAAGGCTCATACTCATCCCAGCTGCTTCACCAGCAAAATTCTCAATTACTTACACCGCATACAAATTAACATGGTTGAAGAC